GAAGTGAGGTTCTTACCCACGAAAGCGTATGCTCCCAATACTTCTGTTAGTCTTAAAGGTGCCACAGGACCCTCTGTTGCTTTTTACAATATGTTCAGACTCCTCTACATTTTTCTTGCTGCCTTTCTTGTGTTTTCTAACCTCCTTTCCGTCATGTGAGTTTAACAAATTTATAGCAGCCTCCTTGGTTGGTCATTTGTACATATTAGAATGTGTGAGGTGTGACCATTGACTCCTGGGTGACCCTCTTCAGTGATTCCCCAAGTCTGCAGCAGCACTTCTTTGAATCACTTACACCTGGTTCTTTATCCATTCCTATGCTTTATTACATTAACCGTTCACACTGTAGTCCCTGCTGTGAGAGATAAGACCATCTACACAGTCAAACTCTAATTTCCCTGTTTTATCATCATCAAGCTCTAGGGTCCTGATCCAATTCCCATGGAGTCTTTACGCTGACCCCAATGCACTCTGGATCATGCTGTAGGTGACGGTGCATTACAATTGGCCCCTATAACAAATTCAAATATTATGGAATCAGGCTTCTTTCGCCTCACCCCTAAGGGCAGTCTGAAAGATACATCCTGATATAGGCCATTATGATTTTTCTACATACCAGAACACACAGGACGACTGTGGAAAAATCCACCACTATTAGTCATGTCAAAATTCTGTTTCAGATCCTTTGTTGTAGTGTTGTTAACCATGCTTTCCCCATGCGGTGGCAAAGTTGCAAGCATCGATTTGGCATGGGAACTGAAATTAGATCTCAGTTCTCAACATCTGATGCTGGAAACTTTAAGGAGCCTACAGATCTGATGTAACGATTTAAAAGCTATGTAGTGGCAGAAATAATTTAATAGTTTTTGTTGTTACCACACAGCAAAGAAAGAAATTATACTCATAACAGCGAAGTACTTATAGTCATAACAGCAACGTTTCCACATCCTCGACTCTGCTAATCTATCTGTGGGATTTTGTTCTTTATAATAGGTACTGTTATACCTCACCAAGGTGGCATCTTAATTCACCTTGGCTGATGACTGATGCTCACGTGAGGGCTGAATTAAAAAGGAGAGCTAAACATGTTTCTGTCCTACCAAAGATAATCCTTTCAGGATGGAAGGAAGACTATGTGAGAAAACTGCTAGCTGCAGTATAGGTCACCTATATCTAAACACAGAACTTCTTTCCCCGGGAGGCATTTCAATTGGGAAATGATGCCCATTCATACAAGGTGACATCAGTAGTGCGAACTGTTGGCTTTAATGGTGACCAAATGGGGCACCAAAGCATAATCCAATGTGCCGGTTAACTCTTTGGTATACCTTCCTTAAGCAAGATATAACCAGCTGAAACCTTGGTTCTTATAACTCTCTCTCTCTCTACAGTTGTCTCTGAACCTTTGATACACACGTGGAAAGATTCAAGTCACAGATATGTCTGAACCGAAACACACTGGATACAACCCCCTTGAGCGTTGTGGGTGTTTGCAATACAAACTTGAATGCACATTTCACAGCCATATCTTATCTTATGTTCAAAGTCCAGGGGGCGGCTCTTCAGCTGGTGTGCATTGTCATAGGCAAGGCCATTGTCATGGAGCTATGGCCATTTCAATCAATTAAGGATCAGCCCTCAGATCTGGATCCACATTTTGCAGATTAGGCCCATTTTTAGCTCAAGATAAGAAAATCAGTGGAAGTGAACCGTTCTCTTCCCCACAATCCCTGACCAGCTGTCACTCCAGCGGCCAGGGTCTCCTAAACTGAACATATGACCCAATTGTGTTTCCTTTTCCCAGCACAAACTTTCTTACTTATCCTTTGTTTCATAAAAGCTGAATGTGAGAATCAAGCTGGCAGTACCAGCACTTCAAAAAGCGAGCAGAAAACCAATTTATCTCGGGGCTTCTATTTAGTCAGGCATTCTTACAACCATATAAATCAGAAGTGTCCACAGCTAGTTCTGTCCTGCAGCCTGCCCCCTAACATACTGTGCAAAAATGTGTTAGTGCTCACCCATGAATCCCAGTGACAAGAAAGATCAGGTTCCCGTTGATCTTGGTACAGTTTATGAACTTGTCAATGTTGCTGGAGTCAACAGTTTGAGCGGACGTCAAACTCCCTGTGCCGATGCCATCACATGCTGCCAAAACAAGAACCCCATGAAAACAACTTGCAACACGATTAAATGAATCAATAAATGTTTGCTCCTTAGTCACCTGAACTTTCATTTCCTCCAGGGATGGGCAGAATGGTTCTGGTAAAACAAGAATCACTTAGAACCATTGCCCGCCCCGCAAAATGAACACAAGGATAAACTTCCCAAGGCTCGAAAAATATGGCTAAGTACTTGTGATATAGACTTTTAGGCAGGAAGTGCCAATGTTGTCTTCATTCCCTCTCACCATCCAACTGACATACCAACTGGGCCTGGAAAGACTCTTACGCCATTAGCATCATTGTTTGGCTGTTGTATCTTTCATAAGGGGGGCAACAGTGCTAGAAACTTCCCTGTAGGGTCCTTATGTCCACTTAATTCAAACCTTGCATGCTCTGGGATATACATTGCACATAGGAACATCCAGTACCCTAGATTACACAATAAGACAACATATCTATCTACCTGCCTAACTAGGCTCTAACAGTGGCAGTGATCAGCAAAGCATCTGAGCCCCTCCCAGGTGTTCAAACGACATCAGTAATTACTCTCCTTCTTCCCAACAGGTCAGAGTAAGAACTTGAATGGAAAATGATGTGTACATGCACATGTGCCTATGTGGGAAAGAGGTGTCTGTTGCAGGAAAGCTGTGTTGTGTAGATGAGTTTTGCATTCAATTCCGAATGTGGTAAGGCTAGTTGTATTGATCAGCATAAGGCAGAAGTCCTTGTGTTTGTCTGTTTCATGACACCCTGTGTGGGGTAGCTGTTTACTGATTGGACCAGATTTTATGTAGCTGTCTGGTGAGCAAGCTGGCATCTCCCCTGTTATGACACAGGTTTGTGGTAAGGAAAATTGCCAGTGTTTTGTTCCCATTGCTGCTGAAACCTCCACATAGCATGGGAAGCCTCAAGTCTCCCATAGACACAGAGCTGTTGGGAAGGCAAAGTGACTCAGGTTTCCACCTGGAAGCTTCCTGTTGAGGCAGAGGAGGGATTTAGATATTTCATCAATGCTACTGGAGGGAAAGGAGAGGATCTCTTGTCTCTCAAAGCCATTCAGAGAGGAGGCTGAAGAACCTCAGGTCTCTGCTTTGGGAGAGCAGAAACTCAGCAGTTGTACTAGCAGGTTGCTGGGACATCCCACAAAGATGACAATAAAGGTAGGGAAGAATCAGGGCTTTGGAAGTGGTCCTGAAAGGTTCCAACAGAGAAGCTTTCAAACCAGTGAATGTTAACAAATTCCAACCACCACCAACAACAAAAACCTACAGGTCTATTCCAGTCAAACGGCCAAAAACTATCCCTATTTTTCCCAAGGACGAAATGAGCCTTTTGACTATATTACCACTGTCTAGCGATAATCCTGAATTACGTTATCTTTTAGAATACTCGTCTCATGGCAGCCATCATAGTTCTATGTTCTGTGGATGCCCAGAGTACCCGATATCCTAGAACTTATTCATGAATACATTTCATTTAAAAGTAATACCCTGTTTGCTCTACTAGAGTGCAGAGTAAATTCAAGCAAAGCTATAATAAATGATAACCTACCTTTAGGACAAATGTCAGTGCAGGGTTTGCACATCTTTATACCATTTTCTTCAACCTCCATCTTGGAGCTAGGACAGGCACGCACACAAGAGCTGGAATCTACCACAAAGTTATCTGTAAAGGAATAGTGCAGTGCTCAAAAACAAGCCAGTATATTAAGTTATATTGGGGCATAATTTTGGGGGTTCTGAAAATCAATATAAGTTATTTATTGCCTTGAGTATTTTAATGATGGGTAAGATTTTCAGGAGCTCCTAAGTCAGTTAAGTATTAGGAGCCTAAGTCCCACTGAAAGTTATCTAGACAGATTCTCCTCAGTGCCCATGTTACCTCTGAAAATAGGATGTAGGCAAGCATTTATGACAATTTTACCCAATATTATTTTGAAAAATGTTTTGAAAATATTGGCATCCCTTTTCAATCCAACTACTGAAAAAACAGCAATGGATAGATATCTGTCTGAAGGACTTCAACAGAAGTCACATGCATGCCTACAATACCCATGTGTCCTGGTATATAGTGCCTTGAGAAGAAACATACTGTGGAAAGAAAAACTAATGAAGAGTTGTTGATTTTAAATACCTGAAACTACCGAGAGAGAGAGAGTTATCTTAGACTTTTTTGGGGAAAATATCCTATATGCCAGCTATCTTTTGTTTCCATAGACTGCAAGTATATTGGGTACCATTAACATAATGGAGCTATTGCTGAAATCAATGGCATTACTCCTAGAGTATGCTACTACTCAATGTAAGTAACAGTGGAAGAATTTAGTACTTGATATTAAGAGTCACAGTTCTTAAGAGTTACCACAATGATCATGGTTTTCCCCATTGCAATTATATGGAATACCACAGTAGTGGTAAATTCTACAGTGTGATAATTGCTAAGACTTTAATGGTGCCCAATAAACTTGTGTAACCCACACACCCTCTGGGTGTGATGTTCTGTCCCATCTAGTAGTGACACTTAGCCCACTTAGCGCGCGCGAGAGAGAGAGAGAGAGAGAGAGAGAGAGGGAGGGAGAGAGAGAAAATGAGTCTGCTCTACAGCCTTAGCTAACAGCCAGTTGACTTTTAGTTCATGCAGTAGAGGCTCATGCACTAAGCTCCAGAAGTCCCAGGTTCGATCCCGCCCGCCGATGACTGGGGTCTGTTGGCATTACACTTGCACTTAATTTTATGCCACGGTTAGAGCTGTGCACAATATTTGCAATAATTCTCGAGCCAACTGCAAAACAGCCTGGGGTTGAGGGTCAGGACTTTCTGCAAACATGGGCAGATGAAACTGAATGGCTATATCATGTGTCAACCCAGCATGAAACCAGCCCTCTTCCCTATAGGTCAAGAAGAAGGCCTTCCAGTTACAGGTGGAATGACACCAATCTCCACATGGTCTATAGAGGTCTTTACACTGATCATGTTAGTATCCCCTGGGCTTTCCAGCAGTGCATTAAGCAATGTGACTAATATCTGTCTCATGGTTCTTCTCTCATCCTCTCCCCAGGGGCAAAAGTGTGTGCAGGGCAGTGTGTGTGTTTTGTTTGGATTTTTTTTATGAGTGCATGTGCTCTCTCTCACACACAGAGCTACATGGTTATGTGAGAGAAGACAATGTCAAAGAAAGGTGCCTGGCACTTAGAGAAGAAGACGAAGAGATTTGTGTTGATTCTTAGTTCCTGTAGGCACCTGAATGCACCAAAGGTAAAGTAGGTGGGTCTTAGGTACATCTGGTTGAATGAATCATTTAGAATAATATTAATTGAAACTGCCAGAATATTATCCTTAAAATAATCACTTGCAAATAAGTGTGTCCAGCTCTAATCCTGGGGTTTCAATGGAGGGAAGAAGTTTCTAGAGTGGAATAGGAGGACCCTCTATGGGAGTCATGCTTGGTGGTCTCCCTTGTTAATTTCAGCATTCTTTTAAAGTTTTATTTCCTTTAAGAAACAGACACCTTAATTCCATCATAATGAAGATTTTAGACTAGTATACACTGTAAATTTGGTTATATCATCAAAGGATGCACGGTAGCAAGATGGAGGGGAAAATGGCTGAAAAAACTCAGATACCCTGGTCATGGGCCCAGTATAGGAACTGGAATAGAACAGGACAGGACAGGATAGAATAGCCTTGTCAAAATATGTTAGGTAGTGTGATGCCTCAGTGCTTTTCCTAATGCCTTAAGGATTGTGTTCAGAATTTGTATTGTATAATCTGTATTGTACTGTATAAAGTAAGACTGTATATCTTTATAGTTAGAGATAACCCCAAACTGGAATAGTGGATTATTAAACCCTTGAATTTAAGGAAAAGATGGGTTACAAAATTAGTGACTCATTTCTAAATTTGGGGAAGAAAGATCAGAACTAACTAGACTTTTTTGGGGAAATAGAATGTCTGAATATCCTCCTAGTTAATTAATGTCTATCGTGCATATAATTTGTATAAACAAGTTATGTTACTGAATCTAGAATTTCTACCTTTATACAATCTTTTTCATTTAGTACAGATTTCTGCTTCGCTCAATAAAGGATACTTCCTAAGGTTACCAAAGCCCAAATAAGAACATAAACATAATAAGTGTTAATCATAAAAACTGAAAGCCCCTTAAGTCTCCTTCCCCCCCCCCCCCCCCCCCGCCTTTGGCCATAGTACAGGGCATTTTTAGAACAGCATCCCAAAATGAAACTCTCTTTGATTAACATATAACTTCAAGGTATTACTGCCAAAGAGCATACCGGGAGCTATTACACTATTTACTTAGCTCTAAACTTAACATTGCTTATTGATGGTTTCTTAATAGAGTTTTCTTCCTGCGGAGCTGCACAACTTGCACTTCAAGGACAATGTGGAAAAGGAAGCAGTCGTGTAACTTACGTGGGCACTTCTTGACACAAAAAGCTCCATAGGTGTATTTGGCATTGTGGTTGTGCTCCAGTTGGAAGGTGGTGGGGTTGTAGACAAAAGTCTGGGGGCACTGAGTGACACATGCTCCGCTGTCGTTGAAATTCATGCAGGCCTGCAACACAAGAAAGCAAGTTGATCATGTCATACCTTCTTTTGAACTGACTTACTTCAGAGCAGAACCTTGACTATCCATTACCTACAAAGGCATTGTTGCAATTGTAGTGGATGGGATACATTGTTTTTTCCTTGTCTGCGTTTAGCCACGTCTTAAGATATTATCAAAGGTATTATTATTAACATGGATAATGTCCAAAATTAACATGGACATGGATATGTCCAAAGCCCTGAGCAATGCATTTTGAACCCATACGAACATTTTCAGTTTAAATGGAACTTGATGCCAATACATCTTCTAAAAGGGAAGCCTTATTTTTTTCATTATTATTCTTACTATTAGCAATCAACTAATGGCAAACTTGACAGGCAGTTCTAAATTTGACAACAGCATACAGCTACTTATGCTGTTCATATCCTGGCTGAACACACACTAACAATCTGTGCTGTAGAGGGCCAACCTTCTGATCTCTCATGGCACAGTTCAACAGAGGGACTGAAACTCCCAATTAGACAGCAATGAGGATAAGCATTTCCCGTGCACTAGCACTGGAGGGGGTCATTTTCCTAAGTGGCAAATGTAACCAGGTCAGTTAATTCACACACTGGGAAGGAAAAATAGGACTCAATATTCAGGCTCCACCATACATCACTGACAGAGGACAAGGCCCTGACACATGAGGAGTCAGGTGTGTGGATAAAAAGAGTAGATGAACATAGGGAAAAAAAATAAATTGACTATGCAAGACTTGAACCTAGAGAAAACGCTGATTTCTTCATTCTCTACCATTCTGTATCGTGCCTATTGTATCAGTTACAACTGATAGACACGCTGATAGCAAAACTCTTAAATTAGAAAAAATTATGTCTGGTTTCAAATTTTACATGAAAGGTTTATGCAAATAATTTGAGCCAGTGGAGGCCACCTCAAGCCTGCCTCAGGATCTTCCTTGCACGGTTGGCCATCTTGGCAACAGGATTGTGCCTTCCCGTGTCACTTTATAGATCTTCCAGCAGCCTGATTGCCTCAAAACCTCTTTGGCCTTGGGATACAGCCTTCTGGTCAGCAAATAGCCAGCTGGTTCCTCTCTCTGTCTTGCTTCTTCAAAGAGCTAGCAAGAAGAGTCACAACCTCAGACCCAGGGAGGAACTTCAGGGCACTTCTCTCACATTCAGAAGCAGGACTGAGCAAGGCTCCTCTGGCTCTGTTGCCTCTTCTAAAAGCCCTTACCTCAGTCCAGGGCCTGAGATGCTAAGAAGGCATCACAGAGATGGGATGAGGATGGGGCCAGCTGGGTCATACCTGAAGATTTCAGGAAGGGAGAGGGTGGTAATACCCTTCCTCCAGAAGACTAGAAGGGGATATAAGTGCTGCTGAAGGGACAGGGCTCACCAGGGAGGGTCGGGATGAAATCATCAGCCTTGCATGGAGTTCTTTGGTTCCCATGATCCTCTTGAGTTGACAGCCTATCTAAACTGAACCTGCCATTTTTGGTTTGTCAGAACCATGTATTTGAAAATAGGCAGTAATTTTACAGCTCTCGGATTAATTCACCAGAATCAGTGCATTTGATTTAGTTAACTCCCAATAAAGGTAACTTCTATGGTTGGATCAGGCCCTAAAAGGAGAATCATGTCTCCACTCCAGATTTATTTTCACCCCAGGTCTGAGAACATCATTAAACCTGTGTGTGTAAATACAATGAAACAGCTATGCCACAGGATGGGTATTGGCTTGCTTTCAAAGGTGAATGCACAGATTAATGAATGCCAGTGGGCGGAGAAGGATGGGAGAACTTTTCCCAGCAAATATTAAAAACACTTTTACGACAGGATATTATTACAGGCTTTGAGAGGCTGCCATAATGTGCCAAAGGATTTCTTAATGCATCATGAAGTGTACTTTTGTTTATTAATAAATACTAATTTACTTTGTTTCCTCAGCACATTTTCTACATCCAGTGTTGTCTTAGCAAGTACTTCATCACAAACATGACAATCCTCTGGTGATGACTTAGTAAATGCATAATCAGAATGAGGCACACCGACGATACATTATTCAAAGAGATGACACTTTCCAGGAAGAATCTATTAAAAACCAATCTAGAAGACTCAGGAAGTTTTAATTTATGACTGTAAAACTTTGTGTACCCTCATAATTGTTTCACTAACATATGCAAAACTTACAGCGCTTGTTTCTAAACGTGCCCAAGATGCATATGAAAGGGAAAAAAATGCATAGGGAAAAATCAAGATGTACATCTCAATTAAAAAATAAATAGCTACATTTTCTCCAAGACGTTGATCCAGTGTCCCTGCATGTCCCCCACTATAGCCCAAAAGGGTACTACGTCTAGCCCAGCACATGATAGGAAGGAAATGAGTTGTTCTCAAGGTTGTTGAACACTAAGGCTTTGATTTTCCCTGGCATCCCCCTGGCGCCCTTTGTATTTTCACATTGGAGCAGCACAAAAGTGCTAACATGATTTTTAGCACAGGCATTTCCATAATTGCTACAGAGAGAGAAGCTCCAGAAAAATGTGGAGTGTTCAATGGCCCGTAGAAATCACATTTTCTCCTGTGCGTTGTGGTGTTACAGAAATAATACTGTAACAAATACATGGCCTCCTAACACTTCAAGACGGATCGGTGTGTGGTTAAAGTGACAGATTGGGACTCAGAAGATATGGGATCAAGTCGTAGCTCTGCCACAGACTTCTGAAGTGGCCTTGTGCAAGTTACTTAACAAGTCCCCCAATTGTAAAATGGGTAATAATACTTTCTCTCATTGTTTGTCTAGTTAGACTGTGCGGGACAGGGACAGTCTCTTATTGGGTCTGATGGAAAGCCCATGGAAGTCAACATAAGGGCTTCCACTGACTTCCAGTTAACTTTGAACGATGCCCACTATGTGTATTTTCAATACTGTGTTAAATAGGGCCCCGATTGCAGTTGGCAGCTTTAGATGCTTGCTGCTGTAAGTAACAATAATGTGATGGCTGTCACAATGCTGCAGTCCAAGGCCACTCAGAAGTTCACAGTGGTGACAGGGATAGAACTAGACCTGTGTACTGCAAAGTACAGGCCCTTACCACTAGAGCTAAAGGAGAAGATTTGTGTGTCTGTGACACAGTTGAATAGTTCTGCTTCCATTCAAGAGAGGCAAATGTACACATACATTCTAGCCAGTCCAATACTATCTATTGGGCTATAAAATAAAATATACAAGATTAGCACAGCTTATGCCATGCACAATGGTCTTTCCTTATGCCATCTGAGAGAGATTTTCAAAAAGATCTAAGAGTTCGGCTTCCATTTCCTCTGAAAACATCACCTTCTATGCTGGTATATTAGCATAGGTTAGTTCAGAACCTAACCTGAAATTACTAGGGCAAATTTAGGTGTGTAACCAGCTTCCACTGAAGATATTAGCAGACTGTGTATCTTTGTGAGGTAATGTGATGAAGGTACATGAATTTCTTTCCACGGTAATAGGAGTAAAGGCTGCTTTCTGAGTTACACAACTAATTGACTGCATCTGGAAAGAATTTGGCCATATTGAGAATGTCTGTTTGAGAAAATTCAGTTTTAACCCTTTTTCTTTTTGAAAGGATGTATTGTGCGCAGTTGGATTTTAGTGAATAGGAAACAATTTTTCTTCTCTTTCTTCTAAGACGCACACCCCGGTTGAATAGGTGAATTTGTTTAAATACAGCCTGGGAAGCATAAAAAAAAAACATCTTTAACTAAGAAGCCAAATTGTATTCTCAAACTTCAGACAAAAAATATACAAAGCAAAATACATGATATATATGTGTGTATGTGTGTGTGTGTGTGTGTGTATATAAACCCTTCAGCCCAAAATGTAATGACAAATGCCTATAAAAGTTCCCCACCATCTATAAAAGCTAATTTTAGACAAATGAAAGATAAAAATCACATAGATTAGCATATTAATGGCTCCAAATCTGTCTTTGTAAATCTCATAAATCTTTTAATGAGTAATATAAGCTGATAAGTAATGTAAATGTCATAGGAAAAATGTGAAATGAGAAAATGTGCAGCTGAAAGCTTGAAACATAGAGGCAATTCAATTAAAGGTGACCAAACAATCATGAATTTCATGGATTAAAGCTAAGCACTTGCACTGTGGCCGGTGGGATGAGTGAGATTAGGTAACTCCCAAACATACAAAGCAATCAGTGTCTTTAGGTCCGGAACAGCCTCCAGCGCATTCCCGATGGCAGCAGTCACTGACGTACGGCCCGTAGCAACGTCCATCACATTGCTCTGCACACACTGTCTTTGTCACTGGAAAGGACAGAGGAATCAGCTGTCAAGAGAGAGCTGTTTAAACTGAACAGGGAGATTTAAAAAAAAACAAATCAACAAAGACAATGGAGTATTAAGAAGAGAACATCTGATTCTCTGTAATAACCTCTAGGCCAGGGGTCACTCATGTCCTGTGTAATATCCCATCTACAAAGGAACATGAAAATGCCCAGGTGGTAGGACAGATATGTCTGGATTTATGAGGATTTGTTCTTTTAACCTTGGGAAGTCAGCACAAATCCTGAATCTCTCATTTTCAGGAAGTTAGCAAAGGTTGATGGCTGGCTGGGAAAAAGCCTATTGTGATATGAATCACTTTTAATGTATATCAGAAGAATCATAGAATATCAGGGTTGGAAGGGACCTCAGGAGGTCATCTAGTCCAACCCCCTGCTCGAAGCAGGACTAATCCCCAACATTTTTTTTGCACCCCAGATCCCTAAATGCCCCCCTCAAGGATTGAACTCACAGCCCAATGACAGGGGTATGTAACAATATGCAGAAACTCAGAGTTAGTTGAGCAAAATCATAGGGCCACATTTTGTCCTCAACTAGCACCCATGTAGCCAATGCTGCTGAATGGGCGTATCAGAGCAGCATATAGGTCATGTACTGTAACATACCACACTGCAGTTTTCTACATTTTTTTTCGAAATGCTACACTCAAGCCTAATTTTCAGACAGAAAGGACTACATTCAGCCCTGTTGTAAGCCTTTAATGGCATTACCCTCATCTATGCCAGGGTTAAATTTGATCTAATGTGTCAGGAACCAACTGAGTATCTTCTGTTTCTCAGTACTTACGTATCACCGTGTTCTTTAAAACATAAGCAATTGTGGCGCTTAAAAGCTGCATCAACCAGGGGACATTTCCTTTCCTAACTGACTTCAGTGGCACTAGGATTTAGCGCAAGGTCTTCCACATTACCAAAAAAAAATTAAAATCAAATCCTCTACATTTTATCCCGTTAAGTATCGAGTCGTCTTCTCCTGGTGAAAGAACTATTGGTCCACACTCATAAAACATGCAAGAAGTTGATACTTATCAAAACAGATACAATTTCCTAAATTCCTGATGATTCAAAGTCAGTAAGTCAGCAACCAGACAGTGCTCTTCAATGTAATAGTTAGATTGAACCTACTGAACTCTGTCTAATTGAAACATGAATCCCTCTTCAATGATTCATTGTATTAAAAGGCTGTAAAAGGAGCTTTTTGGAGTTCTCAGTAAGAAATCGGAAAAGTTCACTGAGGGCTCGGTTTTATTTTTTGTAAGATGAAACATAAACGTGGTTTCTCCACAAACTCATAATGATCTTCCCTTTATAGCCCTGCTTCTCATACTGAAGGATCCCAAACAGGGCCGGCTCCAGGGTTTTGGACCCCCCAAAAAAAAAATAAAAAAAGCCGCGATCGCGATCTGCGGTGGCAATTCAGCGGAAGGTCCTTCGCTCCGAGCGGGAGTGAGGGACTGTCAGCCGAATTGCCGCCGAATAGCTGGACCTGCCGCCCCTCTCCGGAGTGGCCGCCCTAAGCACCTGCTTGCCAAGCTGGTGCCTGGAGCCGGCCCTGATCCCAAAGCACTACATAATTGATCTGGTATATAGACTACGCACAGAAATCACTTAATCAAAGCCTAAAATACAACTGCCTCTGGATGAAATGCAGCCCCGCTATGCAAAGGACAGAAAGTGAGAAATGGTGTTTCTGATCGAAATAGCAGATGGAATTCAGGTGGGCAGAATTTAGTAACCAAACTAGAATGTGCCCAATATATGGGGATGAACGCTACTGCTCTGACAAACCACAGTTTGTGGCTTAAGAATGACGATACGTGACTAGGACCAGAGTTTTGAGTCCCACCCAAAATACTTGAGTTTTAATTCACCTGCAGCAGTGCTGAGCTCCCTCATGACACGATGGCAGGGCTGGTGCAACCTATTAGGTGACCTAGGCAGTCGCCTAGGGCGCTAGCATTTAGGGGGCGGCATTTTCTTCGGCGGCGACCGCAGCGGCCGGATCTTTGGCCGCCCTGGTCGTCATCATCATTTAGGCGGAGGGAGCTGGGGCAGGGGGGTGCGGGGAAGGCTGCCTGCAGCAAGTAAGGAGGGGGTGGCGGCATGCAGGGGAACTCCCCGCCCCAGCTCACCTCTGCTCCACCTCCTCCCCTGAGCATGCCGCCCCGCTCTGCTTCTCTCCCTCCCAGGCTTGCGGCGCCAAACAGCTGATTGGCACTGCAAGCCTGGGAGGCAGGAGAAGTGGAGCAGAGACGGCATGCTCGGGGAGGAGGCGGAGCAGAGGTGAGCTGGGGTGGGGAGCAGCAGCGGGGGGGAGCGGGCACGGGGGGGGGGCCTCAGGGCGGAGGGGGGATGGGGAGCTGCCACGAAGGGGGGCACCTCAGGGCAGAGGGGGGGTGGGGAGCTGCCTCAGGGCGGGGGGGCGGGGAGCTGCCGCAGGGCTTGGGGAGGGCGCAAGGTGGAAGTTTCACCTAGGGCGCGAAACATCCTTTCACCGGCCCTGCATGATGGGGCACTGTTTCAGTACTGACCAAGGCAAAATGTGCTACCTCTTTAATCACCAGCACCACTTCCTGAAACAAACAGGTGTCTTTAGGGATAACAAGAGGCAGTTTAGTAGTAGACAGTGCACTAGATTGGGAGTCAGGAGACCTGGGTTGTAATCCCAGTTCTCACACTCATTTTGGGCAAATCACTTTACCTCTATTTCCCTTCACAACTTTTGGCTACCTTGTCTCTTTATACTGCAAGCTCTCTGGTGCCACAGTCTCTCGCCATATGTTGATACAGTGCAATGGAGCCTCTGAATTGGTTAAAAGCAACAAAGAGTCTTGAGGCACCTGATGCATCTGACGAAGTGGGTATTCACCCCCGAAAGCTTATGCTTCAATACATCTGTTAGTCTATAAGGTGCCACAGGACTCTGTGTTGCTTTTTACAGATCCAGACTAACACGGCTACCCCTCTGTTACCTTCTAAATTGGTTGAGGCTTCTAAGTGCTAATATGGTACAAATAAATGCTAATCATACCACATTCAAATATGAAGCCAATTAAATCTCATTTGGCTTGTGAACTATGACAGGATCATAGCACACCACAGTCTGGCTGTAGGCCATAGCGCCAGGGGACTTTGTTTAATGGGAAAAAATGGGAGAAGTCAATAGTTTACAGGGAACCCTACAGACCGTTGGATGTGGAACTTCAGCAAGTTCTGCTTCAAGCTCTCTTTGGCAGAGGAGTAATGATGCTACAATCTTATAATTAACCTTAACTGACCACTTTGTTCAAAAGCAGATCAGTGCTTGTGTATGGAAAATATTTTTCAAGTGTTCAAAAAAAACCAACAACAACCCAAAACCCCCTACCAACTTTCTCCTCTACACGTATTTTAATAAATTGCTGATTTCTCATATGTAAAAACTATATTTAAGAAAAAACAGGATTTTTATAGTGTAAATGAACCTATTTTTCAAGGTGAAGTCCCCTCGCTCTCTATTAGAACTTTAGATAATGCAAAAACCTATTTAAAAACATAACATTTATGTATGGAATAAAGGTGTAAATAAGCAAAGAGAAGGTAAGAAGCAATCATCATTTAAGATCTAAAGGAGAAAAGTGATGCACTCAGAATAATTGTATCCATCTTGATAACTAAAACAAGCTCATGGATAGAAAATATTTTCTTTGTGACTTATGCAAACTGAATTGCAGCACAAATGGAAGATTTCTGTAAAGTAAACCCACTTACTGCCAACTTACTAGTAGGAAGAACAGACAGAGCTTATTTAAATTACTTTAAATAAACGTATATCAATGCAACCTCAAAACAGATATGCAAATCAATAAATATATCTAAGCACAAGTGGTGATCTGCAGTACATAACCACCATAGCAACATTAACTGATAGGGTCTGATCCTCAGAAGGTGTATTTAAGTCAATGAAAGTATACTGATTTATAACAGCTGAGAATTTCCTCATATTGGACTGTGTCTGTCTTTCAATATCATTTCATTATTCAATATATTTATTAATCAGTATATACAGATAAATAAAACTCATTAGTGCAAGGAAGTTTCTAATGAAAGTCTATCTATTTTACTATAGTCTGAAAGTTTGGTACAGTGTTAACTCCCATGGGAATATTGGTACCTTCTAACTCATTTTAACAAAATTTTCACTACAAATGTGACTCTTAGTGCTCTGTTTAAAGCACATAGCACACATGTGGTTGATGTAAAATAACAAGGAATGACTGTAATAAACAATCCAAGGTGTTATAGGTAGGAATGGGAGGAAGCATCGGGATCAAATAAGAAACGCTGTGTGCTTAACCCTTTCAGATCTCACTAAATAATTTTGTAAATTCTATAATGAATGATTAATTTTTCCCCCCTCTTCATTTGTTCATGGCTCTCCAGTTTCTAGTTTTGAGCTAGGGTTAGAAGCAGAAATGCCAGAATTTTTCAATGAAAAGCTATTCTCACTAGATATTTGAGCTGGCTTATATAAAGCAGTATCCGAAAACTAGAGAGAAACCACGATTTTAGGAAATTTACAGCCTAGTTTCTGGATTAAAGACATTTGATTAATTTCAGATTATAGCTTCAGAAAAGTCTCTGAAATTTGTAGATACTTGTCTAAATTAAGCTGAATCTTTTGTAGGTTTATCCATCATTGGTCATAAAAAGTGTTACCACTATACTATCAACCCATTTTTTTAAGTGAGAGAGTTAGTACAGGCACAAATTTTGCTATATGATTAGGTTTGGTTCAAATCAATGCCCAGTTTTAAATACATGAAGGTCACTTACCTATAATTGGTGTCCTATGAGACGGCCTTACAGTAAAAGCCTCTTCTAGCACTGTAAACTGTAGTGCTCCCATGCCCCCCACTCCAACCCCTCCCCTCAGCATCTAGATCTACTGAGGGCGAGGCCAAAAAGGGAGCTGAGTGCTCT